CGAAATTGTTGCCAACTTTTAAGGTTCAGATTAGTCAACGGTGAGGGAGTCTCAGGCGAAACGCCCGACCCGCCCTAAAAACTGGCGTCGGGGTGCGACAGGGAGAAGTTATTTATAAGGAAAAGGAATGGAGGAGGAGGAGGAGGAGGAGGAAGAGGAGGAGGAGAAGGAGGAGGAGGATGGGCGAGGGTTTCTCGCTCTCCCCTGACGACGTCGCCTCGCCCGCCTCCGCCCGCTCCAAGAAATCGCGCGCCTCGCCCGGAGAGCCGCCGTTCGACTTTGAGGCCCTCCGAGCTCAGCTTCTCGCGGTGGCAGCATAGGCAGCAGCACCCTGCAGCCAACGCCATCATGAAAGCCTTTCGGCAGCCTCCGAAGCACGCATCCTGCACTGCTGCTACAACCCTGCCGCGGCGCACGCTCTCGACGGCGGCAGAAGGCCAGCGGTGACAGGGAAGCGGCCCTTGAGCGCTGCACCTGGGACCGAGCAGGCAAGGCTTCGCGGCGTCGGCGTGGTCCTCGGTGTCCGCGCCACGCTCGCTCCGAATCGTTCCAGGGCCCAGCACGCGTGCGGGCAGATGCGGAGGGGGGGTCTTAAAATGTACTCCAAATGTCGTAATAAAAGGGAGGGGGTCTGGACCCTCCAAGACAAGCCATTTCAGACCTCCCCCGTGGGAGAACCCTCCAAAACATCGTCCCCAGACCCCCCCAGGCCCTCCACGATAGCCTGGAAGAGACCCCCCCCCCGAAATGAGACCCCCCTCCCTTTATTACGAAATCTGGAGTAATGTGGGGAGGGCCAGTGGGTCTTCAGGGTCGACTCGAGGTTCCCAGGCTCAGCGAACGCAGCAGGGCGCGACATACAGAGATGGCCATGCCGAAGTGCGAGATGTTGCTGCCCGGGCGGCCTGGAATTTCAACGCTCTTTGAAACGATTGCCTTTTAAGATTTGAAATCGGCCGGTTCGCCCGCATCATACCGTCGTTGTTGCCGTCGATAAACGTCCACAGGTCATTAGAATTGCCCATCGCCATCACCGGCACCACCACCACCACCACCACCACCACCACCACCAACAACAACAACAACAACACCAATTTCACCATCCTCATCATCATCGTCGCCGCCGCCCACATCGTCATCGTCACCGCCATCGTCGCCTGTTTATGCTCCTCGTCTCCATGGCCATCGCTTTTTTGCGAAAACGACCGCTAAGCAAACACATCCTTCAAAGCCATCTGCATCGTGCTGACCATGCATGCCGCCATTACCATCATCACGCCATAGTCGCAGTCGTTATCGTCATCACCGCCGCCATCCAGAGCGGGGCCTCACATTCGACGACCACCCATTCATGTCGATCCATCACTATTCGCCAAGTCTCGCGTATATCCACCAGCCCATCTAGCAACGATACCCAGGCAAGTTGCCTTGATCAGGGAAGTGGGGGGGCATGCACTGAAGGGACACCTGAGAGAGTCGTGCTTCCCAGGGCGTTCTTAGGAGACCCGAGGCTACTTAGGGCCGTCGTGGGGCCATCTTCGTGTCTCTTGCAGGCATATTGGAGGTCGTTTTCAGCAAACTTGGACCCTTGCTGGAGCGCTTGTGGATCAGTGTTGGGATTATGTTGGGCCGTTTGGGGGGCTCGCGCTTGAGCCTCTTGGAGCCACACTGAGGCTTCTGAGGAAGAAGGTAAAAATCCTGTATTTCATGTGGGTGCTTGAAGGATTTGGGTGTCTTTTCGGTTTCCTTGGGAGGCTCTGTGGCCCTTGAACCCATATTGGGGGGGTCTTGCAGCATCTTGGAAGCAATATTGAACGACTTTGCGCTATTTTGAGCCACCTTCGAGGGTGAGGGAGGGGTCAAGCTACACCCCAATACACTTCTAGGGCCCCCCAGGGCACCCCAGTACCCCCAAAACACCCCCAGGGCCCATCAGGGCCCGGGGCCCCACAGTATTCTCCAGCACATCCCAATATTCAACAGCACCCACGAATACACTCCATTAAACGTCAGTGCCTCCCCAGGGCCACCCAGCACCCCCCAGTGCCCCACAGTACCTCTTGCGCCCCCCAGGGCCCCTTCCCAGAGCCCTCCAGGGCCCCCCAAGGCTTTCCTGTCCCCAGGCCCCCCGGAGCTCCCCAGTGCCCTCCAGGGGCCACGCCTCCACCCCAGAGCCCCCGCCCGGGGCCCCCCGCCCAGGCCCCCCACCCCCTTGGCTCCTCCCAGGGCACCCTCCCAGGGCACCCCCCCAGGGCCGCCCAGAAACCGCGGAGCTGTCCAGAGCCCCCCACGGCTCACTGGTGCACCCCAGAACACCCCAGAGACCCCCAGGGCCCCCCAGTTACCCCCCAGTACACGCCAGTAACCCCCAGCACCACCCCAGTACACACCAGTACCCCCCAGTACATGCCAGGGCCCTTCATTGCCCCCAGGGCCCTCCAATACCCACCAGTACCCCAGTACCCCCCCGTTCCCCCAATACCCCGTCAGGGCTCCCCACAACACCCCAGTGCCCCCCCAGGGCTCCCCAGGACTCCCCAGGACTCCCGAGGGCCCCCCAGTATTCCCCATTACCCCCCGCACCTTCCCAGAACCCCCCAGGGCTCCACAGGGCCCCCCAGGGCCCCCCAGGGCCCTCAAGGTACGGTGTCGTCCGTTTCGGTGGACACGGTCGGTACGGCATCGTCCGGTACGGCGTCTGCGGTTGGTTGGCGCGGTACGGGATGGGCCGGTACCAGTTGGCCGGTATCCGGTACGGTAGCGGCCATCATGTATGATATATGTGACCGTTGGCTTGACTTCAGCTTCCACACCGACGGGGCCATCCAGGATCAGGCGAAGTTCCCCCTTCCCCGTGCAGCAGTCGTGGGTTCCGATGGAAGTAACATCAGGTGTAGGCGTTGCGGTTGGGGCTTCTCCCTGGCCCTTGGGGGTCAGGTCAGTGGGCGGGCTTGGGACCCGCCCGTGGGCCGCCGCCAAGCGGCTCCCCTGGTCGAAGTAGAATCCATCACATCAGCCCTCCGCCATGCCACAAGCCATGGTAGTTTCGCCACTCATGCACAATATGTATAGACGGGATTGACAGGGGCCCACACAACGTTGGTCCTACCAACTCAGCAGCCTAGTTTCGCTTTGGGGCTGCCGTCCGAGAGCGGGGAGGCGAATTTCATTACAGTGAAGTCTCGCCTTTCCCAAGCTGGCATCTGGAGGTTTGCCAGTGAGGATGACCCTGTTGCGAATGAGGGAGCTGGCCTAGCGGCTGACCGCGGCGCGAAGCTAGCCGCCACCCCCGCGGTTTCCAAGGTCGAGTTAGCTAGGCTCGACATTCTCACGTTCAAGGTCTGTGAACATTTGTCGGGGGAGCGTAAGACCCGGGTTTGCCAGGACTCGGGTTCGCCATCGTTTTTTGACGACCGCGACTCGGATTTTGACGAGTAGGAGTTTCGTGGGATGTCTGCAGCGGGAGGCCTCGTCAAAATGCAGGCTCGGCCTCGTCATTTTTTTGACGACCTCGTCGGGGATTTCCGAGTCCCCTGTACCCGGGTCTTACGCTCCTTTGAATTTGCGCACGGTGGGGCTTCTGGAGGTCCAGGCACCAGCGGAGGCGGCCATCGGAGTTCTGGCCCCGACTCTCGCCGAGCACCCGGCGGCCGCCCGAGCGCGCCGCCGGGAGATGGAGGTTGTTGCCCTGACCGCCCAGCTCAGCTCCGCCCACATTACTCTTTCGTAATAAAGGGAGGGGGGTCTCATTTCGGGGGGGGTCTCTGCCAAGCTATCTTGGAGGGCCTGGGGGGGTCTGGGGACGATGTTTTGGAGGGTTCTCCCAGGGGGGGGGTCTAAAGCTTCTCGTCTGGGAGGGTTGAGACCCCCTCCCTTTTATTACGAAATCTGGAGTGCCCACCCAGTGCGGTGCACCTTCAAATGTACACCAAGCCGCAGGCCGTGTCGCTCACTCCCACCCGCCCTCCCAACACATCAACAGCATCCGAGCCTGGGGCCCCGATCTTATGGAGCTCCTGAGCAGACAGGATGAGGGCACCCCCGCTGTCCCTGGCAAAAGCCATTCACTGTGATTGCGGGGCGCCCGTGCATGATTCGGATTTTGAATCAAAGTGCACTTCGTATTTGTTTCTGTCAGGTATCGTGAGCCTGCACAGAGCAGTCAATATGAGGGCATCCCTCCCACCGCCCCCCTGTCAAAAACCAATGCAAATTGATCACGGGGCACCCGCGCAATACCCAGCTTTTGCCACAGAGTGTATTTTGCATTGTGTGTTGACAGGGAGGGTGGGTCTGCGCAGAGCGGACATTTTAAGGGCACCGCCACCGTCTTTGTCAAAAACCATTGCAAAGTGCTCACGGGCCGCCCGCGCACGATCCAGATTTTGCCACGATCTGCACTTTACATCGTTTTTTTGAAAGGGGTGACGGAGGGCGGGGCCGCATTGGCCTGGGTTTGTCGCCAGTCGGGGGAGGTATATCAATAAGACACAGTGATAAACCCTTACCCGAAGAGGAAGATGATGGGTTAGAAGAGGAAATTCGCCAGACCACGTCCGCCCAGAGGACTGGTAGGATGCAAGACGGCACAGCTAAAATGGAAAGGGCCACTCCTCCTTGCCTGCTGGGGCAAGCACGCGAAGTCTAAGAAGTCGTGCGGCTGTGGCTTCGCCTGCTTCGTTTGACAGGCGGCGCATAGTTACGCTTGCAGCTGGAGCGACGGTTTTGAACAGCGCCGGCTTTGGAGATGTACCCCCATGTTCTTCACGCTTTGGCCCTTCGCCTTGGAATGGCCTTCGTCTGGGGCATCTCCATGGGACCTGGGGCCTTCGAGGCCAGGGCTCCTCTTCCTGTTCCGCGTTCCTGTGGCCTTGTTTCGGCTGTATTTGCCAAGGTTGGGTCCACGCCTCCGCTCCATCCCTTCATGCCAGCCAGAGGCGGCCACCGCTCCCGGCTGTGCGCCACCGCGGCAGTCAGACGCTGCTTGGCGTGCCCCTGAGGACAGCAACACGACCTGCGTGTTCAACGCGTCCCACTCGGCGCCGGGGGACATCACGCTGGACCTCCAGGGCGGGAAACATACACTGGTCCACACTCCTTCATTCACCGAGCGTGCTCCACTACTCGCAAAGTGCCTACTCGCAAACGTCCGAAAAAAACATGTGCTTGCTTCGTGCTTCGGTGTAACATATGGTAAGCCCCCCAGGGCGGGTCCAGGCCATTTGCGAGCAGTTGCTTTGCGAGTCGTGGAACGCGCTTGTCTGTTCATGCACACGCGGGCGGGGCGGCAAGCCACTCGGCCGTGCAGGGTTGCACGCTTAGCGCAGCGGACTAGTGCTGGGCTGAAGGGCCGCTCGACTAGACGCAAGAGTGACCCGTCGCCGCCGTGACCCTCTGGCGCGGGCCCAGACCGCCGAGCGCGATGCGGCAGCAGCCGCTTGCGCGCCTGGCGGTGTCCTCAATGGGATCCCCCTCCCCGGCCGCACACTTTCTGCGTCGGCGGCGAGGCAGGGGTCGCCTGCGCCAATCGGGTCGGACGAAAGGGGGGGATTGGGAAAGGGGGGGTTACGAAATTTGTTGCATGCAGCTGGTTTCGGCCCTACCGAGGGGCCCGTTCCTCGATACATAGCCGCCTCCGGCGCTGGGAGGCGCCGGGAAAATCAGCAACGTGAGCTGATTCTCAAACCCCACTTTTGCTATCCCCCCTTTCGCCCGACCCGAGCCAGCGGGAAGAGCTAGAACGGGGATACCGTTGAAGCGAATCGTGCCACCATGCAGGGGGAGAGGCAGAGGAGGCGGCCGAAAGAGGGGGAGCCCCCCGGCCGCACACGAGCGGCCACCCTCTGCCCAGGGTCGCCCCCGCGTGCCGCCGAGAGGCACCCGGACACCAAGCGAGCCAGAAGGTGGCGGCGGGGGAGGAGCCGCCGGCCCCCCTCGCGGGGCGCAGGGCGAAGGGCGGCGGGCAGCGGGCAGGTGGCGGGGAGCAGCGGGCAGGCGGCGCCCAGCGAGCACAGATCCGCACGCTCTTCTGGCGTCGCGGCCACGCGCGCAGCGGCCAGGCGCGGAGCGTCGGGGCACGTCCACACTTTTTTGCGTCGGCGGCTGGGCAGAGTGACTGCGCTGGCGGCTGGAGCAAATGCAGGGCATACGAATGCCAATTGTGCCGCAGTGCACGAGAGGAGGAGTGGGAACGCCCGGCGCGGAAAGGGTGGAGACAGAGGCCAGGCCCGCTCAGAGCGGGGCCAGGCGGCGGCGGAAGGGGCACATCCACACACAGGGGCGACTTCGGAAACCCGTAGCCCAGAAACGTTCTCATCTCTCGGGGCCGCATTTTTTGCTTCCGCCGCCTTCCGCCGCCCTTCCGCCGGCTTGCTTCCGCAGGCGGAGGCGGCCTCGTTTTACTTCCGCCGACCTTCCGCCGCCTTCCGCCGCTGAAGGGATGACAACTCCTTCGATCTTTGAAAGCAAGGCCCTTTTTGGAATGCCGCACATGGTGCCACTGTGGACAGGCTCGCAAGAGCTAGGCCACGATGGCAACGGCACCCGCGCTGGCCACTGGCCATGGGCCACGTCCACGGTCTCGCGGCCCAAAAGCCCCCCAGTCGTGACCCGCACAGAAGGGGCGGCGCTGCGCAGGCGCCGCTCGCGAAGGATACCCACGGGATGGCTCCTCCTCCTCCTCCTCCTCCTCCTCCTCCTCCTCCTCCTCCTCCTCCTCCTCCTCCTCCTCCTCCTCCTCCTCCTCCTCCTCCTCCTCCTCCTCCTCCTCCTCCTGGGGAGGGGGGGTCCCGGAAGGGCCTCGCCTGCGAGGGCTCGAGAAGTTGTCATCTCTTCCTCGGCGGAAGGCGGCGGAAGTATGACGGGGGCGGCTCCGCCGGCGGAAGGCGGCAGAAGCAATAGTCGACCATCCAAGAGATGCAAGCGTTTCTGGAGTCAGGGTTTCTGGAACCCGCCACGTCGACGTGTCTCGACATCCAGACCGCGATGGCATGGATGCGGGTGTCGATGAAAGCCGCGGCAAATCGGTCCCCCAGACCCTCCCAGGGTCCATACGGACCCTGGACCGATGCCTGGCGGCCCGGGGGCCCGACGCCAGCCCCCAGACGCCGAACAATAATTTTGAAAGTGTCCTCGGTTCGGTATGTGTCGCCGCGCCGTTTGTTCCGACGCGCGGCCTTCGTGTTGGGAGGGCGCCGCAGCCACCAGGGCAAACGCCGCCTCGGACACGGTAGGTTCGCCGTGGGCTTGCCGCGGTGCTGGCCTCGTCTACTTGGGCGCAGGCCGCAGGGCTTGCTGGGGGTTTGCCGTGGTGTCGGCGTCGTCCACTTGGGCGCGTCGAGAACAAACTGCGCGGCGACATACGCCCGTCGCCCGTCAGGATTGGAGCGGGAGCATCGTGCTCGCGGCCCACGCCGTGCTGCAGGCCCCCTACGGCGGCGTCTCGCTGCGCGCCTCGGGCACCCTCCGCGCGGAGGCGGGCGCACGGGTGTCCGCGCGGGATCACGTCGAACTCGCGGGCCGGAGCGTCACCGTGGTCGGCGGGAGCTCCGACGGCGACACCGTCAGGGCCTACGAGGGGCAGGTGCCTGCGGCGTCGACACGGCGGCGGCGTGGCCCGCATCTCCGACGATGTACGTTAGTCCATCCCGACTGGCTCCTCGATTTCGGCCTCTGGGGGCCGTTCTTGGCAAAGCCAGAGCGGTGGCAGCAAGCTGGCCCCAGGGAAGGTCGGCCACGCGCAGAGGGGGGGCAGGGGGAGGGGATCGAAGCTCCTTAGAAGGCGCGGGCCTAGGGCCCGCGCCATCTGAGAAGCAGCCTCCTTCTAAGAAGCCCTCCCCCCCTCCCCCACAGCCCCCCTCTGCGCGCGACGGCTCGCCTATGGTAGGTTGGCTCGGGCGCCGCTTTGGGTTTTTTTGTTGGATCTTGTCCCCCGAATACTGGCCCCCCTCGTGGCAGAGAGCTTGGCACGGCACGTTTCGCTGCCAATAGGCCGAATCATCGCAGTGCGACCCCACCTAGGAGTTGGAGCATTTAGGAAAGCAACATCTACATCTATACCAACAGCTACATTTACATCTACACCTGCATCTACATACCGTCTACTCTGCGCTATGCTATGCTATGATTTGCTGCGCTATGCTGCGTTATGCTATGCGATGCTATGCTAGGGTACGCTCGGCTGCGCTGTGTTATGCTAGGCTATGTTATGCTATGCTATGCTGCGCTACGCTATGCTATGATAGGCCATACTGCGCTATGCTATGCGATGCTATGCTATGAGATGATGCGATATGTTCTGATAGGCTATGCTATGATATGCTACAGTGCGTCATGATATGATATGATATGAGATGGTATGATGCATTATGCTATGATATGATATGGTTGCTATGTTGTGGTATGCTGCGATGTGCTATGCTAAGCAATGATATGCTATGCTATGCTATGCTATGCTATGCTATGCTATGCTATGTTGCGCTATGTTATGCTATCATATGTTATGATGAGCTATGATACGATATGATATGCTATGATATGCTTGGCTATGCTATGTTATGCGGTGCTAGTGCTGCGCTGCGCGATGCTGCGCTAAGCTAAGGTAAGCTAAGCTATGCTAAGCTAAGCTAAGCTAAGCTAAGCTAAGCTAAGCTAAGCTAAGCTAAACAAGGCTAGGCTAAGCTAAACTAAGCTAAGCTAAAAGCTAAGCTTAGATAAGCTAAGCTAAGCTGGGTGAACCCCAGGGACGTAACTGGGGGAACCGCGGGGCGGATCCTGGGGGAACCGCGGGGCGGATGTCGGGGGAACCGCCCGGGGCGGGTTCCACTGCCCGGCCTTGTAAGCCTAATAGTAAGAACCCTTCTAGGCAGAGCCTAGGAAGGGGGAGGAAACAAAAAGAAAAAAAAAAAAAAAAAAAAAAAAAAACTCTGCGCGCCGCCAACTGCTTCCCTCCGCGGAGCAGTGAGTCGCAGTAGTCGCACGTTCGAGGAGTTTCCCAGATCTCCGATGGCCCCGCGCGGGCTCCAGGAGGGAGGGCCGCTGGGTGCTCCACAGCTCCCAGGCACGTATCCTGAGGCAGTCGTGCAGCGGAGACGCTGAAGTACATAAGGACCGCTTTGCGCGCTGCCAGAAAAGGGGTCGGGACCTCCTCCCGGGCCGCACCTCGAAAGGCAAAGGAGCACACCGTCGGACCTCTTGCCAGGCACCAGAGAGGGCGGCGCGATGGGGGGGGCGGCCTTCCGAAGAAGCCTACACTAGGTTCGCATCATGTCGACCGGCGGCGACCTGGCCGCTGGCGTTCAACTTGGAACGCCGCCGCCGACCCAGAGTCGGTCGACGTTGAACGATCTGACGTTTCTGAAACGGCCGATCGTTTAAGGTTGAACGATCCCCGCGGTGTCAGGAACCGACGCCGAAGTCGTCACGGCACGAACCTGCCGCATGGGGGGGCGGGCCTTTTGGAGAGCGGGGGCTTGCGCAGGAAGGTCCAGGGGACATCTGGGAAGGCTCCTCGTTGGGTCTCGAGAGACAGGGGTCCATGCAAACGGGGGTCAGCCAGACCAGCTCTTGCAGGACCCTGCAGAGCCGCAGGATCCCGCAGCATCTTGCAGGATCTTGCAAGGCCTGATTCACCCGCGTCGGGATTGGCGACATCGGAGGCGAGGGTGACTTCGGGGAGGCCCCCCTTGCCTGTTCAGGAGCCCCACCCCCCGCCAGGCCTCTCAGGAAGCCGCCCGCCCCACCCCCTCCCAGGGTTTTCTTCGATGCCTCCAGCTGGATCCGCTTCGATTTCGATCGATTCCGGTTCCGATGCGACCCGACGTCGGATTCCGATCTGGGATTCGGTTTCTCGAGAGAGGCCTCGCCAGCCTGCCGATCGCCCATTCGACTTCTCCCAGCTTGGCTGCCGATTCCCGCCGATCCGAGTCGATCCGATCGCCGATGCGACTTGTCGGTTCGACTCCGGGCTCTCCAGCCCTCCCGCCGCGCCAGAGCCCGCGCGTGCGCCCGCCGAAGGTGACGATCGGAGGGCGGTCGGCGCGGGCGGGCGTGGTGACGCTGCAGGGCGGCGCCCGTGTCCAGGGCATGGACGTGGCGCTCCTCGGGGGCAGGGTGGAGGTGGCAGGAGGTGCCCGCCGTCCCTGGCTTGCTTCGGCCACGCGCAGGGGGTGCATGAGGGGGAGGGGGCCGAAGCTTCTTGGAAGGAGGCTGCTTCTTAGAAGGCGCCGGCCTTGTCTGTAGATGTAGGGCCCGCGCCATCTGAGAAGCAGCCTCCGTCTAAGCAGCCCTCCCCCCTCCACCCTACCCCCCTCTGCGCGCCGCCAACTGCTTCCCTCCGCGGAGCAGTGCGTCGCAGTAGTGGCACGTTCGAGGAATTTCCCCCAGGTCTCCGACGGCCCCGCGCGGGCTCCAGGAGGGAGGGCCGCTGGGTGCTCCACGCTCCCAGTCACGCATCCCGAGGCAGTCGTGCAGCGGAGACGCTGAAGTAAGGGAGACCGCTTTGGGCTCGGGAGGGGCTCTGGCTTTCCAGCCGGTCTTGAGATCTCGGTCGGGAGCCCATTCGTGGCCGAGCCTCGCTGCGGCCAGGAGGTTCCTTTCGCTCGATGTTCAGCGGCGTCCCTTGTGGCAGCACGATGGCTGCATCACGGCATCATTACGGCGGGGGCATTTGATAAGGCGCCGTTGGATAAGGAATCCAGGGGCTGGAAGCCCGTGGGACACAAATGGAGGCTTGGCCATGGAGGCCATCGCCGCCCTCGTCAGGCAAGGCATCCTCCAGGGCCTGAAGCTTCCTGGACACACTCCTTCAGCAACGCCCCCACCAGTTGGCGATCCCTCCTGTCCGCCGCAGCGCTGGGTTCCTCTTGGAGGACCGGGGGGAGGGGTGGCTGGCGCCAGATCCACCGCCCTTCGGTTCGCTGCGACCCTGCCCCGTCCCCCTCGTTGCCCCCCTGCCGCCCTCCCCGTCCCCCTCTCCCCATCGTCCACTCGGCATGCCCCTGTGTCCTCCACTCCCCCATCTCTACTCCCCCCCGCCCTCTCCATCTCCACCCTCTCCCCGATTCCAAAGGGGCTGGGGTGGCAAGGAGGAGGGAGAGGAGGAGGAGGAGGAGGATGCGACGCAACAGCCTGTGGCAGCTTCTGTCGCAGCGGCGCAAAAAAATGGGAGGAGGAGGAGGAGGAGAAGGAGGAGCAGGAGGAGGAGCAGGAGGAGGAGGAGGAGGAGGAGGAGAAGGAGGAGGAGGAGGAGGGGCTCAAGGCTGTGCGTCTCCCGCGTCAGCGTCGGGCGTCAGCTGGAAAGCCCTCGGCCGTGGGGAGTACGCAGGCCGGGCGCTGGGGGGCCCGCCTGCGAGTAGGTGCCCGCACCCAGCGGCCTGGATGGGCGCGCGGCCCCGACAACGTGGGTTGCGCCAAGCAGAGCAGAATGAGGATACGACGCAACAGCCCGTGGTAGCTTCTGTCGCGGCAGCGCAAAAAAAGAGGAGGAGGAGCAGGAGAAGGAGGAGGAGGAGGAGGAGGAGGAGGAGGAAGGGCACGGGGGGGCGGGGAGGAAGGAGGAGGAGGAGGAGGTTGACGCCACAGCAGCAGAGCTCGATTAGGTGATTTACTACAGGATTGATTGACCCCACAATTCAATCCCACGTCGAATCTACAACAGCGTGCGTACAAAGTTCGAAGATCTACGAACGTTCTACGCAGTTTCCATGGACTCGACGACAAAGATAAATTCTGGGGCAAATCAATTCTCTACTCGATCGATCCCCTACTCGACGAGCAGGAACAGAAGGAGGGACGAGGAGGGGGAGGGGGGAAGGCTTCTTGAAAGGAGGCTGCCTCTGTGAAGGCGCAGTACTTCTCTGTACGTGTAGGGCCGGCGCCCTCTAAGAAGCAGCCTCCTTCTAAAAAGTCTTCCCCTCCTCCCCCTACCCCCTTGGGCGCGCCGCCCAGCTTGGGGGGGCACCACGTTGCCCCCGTCGGGCCTCCTCGAGGCACGGCGGAGAACTCCGTCGAGGTCCTCGCCCGCTCTCCTGGGGTGCGCGTTGCAGACCACAACCTCTGCAAATCACACCCTTCGGAGTCGCCGAGGCTGGGCCGCGCGTGCGGCAGGGGCCTGCTCGTGTCGTACCGAAGCGGTGGCGATCCGCGGCGCAGGCGTTCAGGGTAGGACGCCGCCAGTGGCCCAGAATCGGCCAATCACGATCGTTCTGCGATGCCGGGAGGCCGCGATCGCTCGAGGTTGAATTATCCTCGCGGCGTCAGAAGCCAATGCCAGGACCGTCACGACACGAACCTGCCGCAACGAGGGGTCAGCACTAATCCCAGGTCAGTCCGTCCCCTCTGGCTGGCCCGGGCTTGTCGAAAACCAGGGACTGTCCATAAGCATGAGTATTCGGGGCTCCGCGCGAGTTTCTTGGATCTGCGCTGGGCCCCCCAGCGGCGTCTCTAGCGCCGCGCCGCCCCTGGCACGCTCCGCGCGCCAGGAAGGGGGCCCAGCGCGGGTCCATGAAGTCCGGCCGGCCCTCCGAGGTTTGTGTTTATGCCGCTGGTTAGTCTTCTTCTAGTTTGGGGGAACGGGGTCGTCAGCGCCGACAATGGCGCGCAAGCTGCCCGCGTAAGGTCTCGCGCGAGCGCCCTCGCAGCGTGCCGCGCTGGCGACCCGCGCAAGCCACCGCGTGAGGTCGCCGTGCCATCTCGCGTAAGGCGCACTTCTTGTCGTCGCTCACTCGGAGCCTGCCGCCCTTCTTGCCCTCCTCTGTCCCGGAGTTGGGAGCTGCTTCGCGGCCAGCCAGGGTTCGCCCGAAGGAGGGGGGATGAAGAGGGTGCTGATCTTGCCCTGGGTCCACGAGGAACGAGGCGGCTGGATCTTCAACGCCGTCGCTTGGTTTCTGGGCGTCATTGGCCCTCCAGAGACCTCAGGGGACTTCCGAGGACGGGAGTCGGGTCTCGAGGCTGGCACCAAATTTTTCTGGCGCCGAGTTGTGCCAACGATGTTCGAAGAGAACGGTTTTCAACCTGCTCACTGCAGATGTTTGGACGCTCATGGCCCTTCCTCGGGCCTCTGGAGGCCTCCGGGAGCCTTCGACCTCCAGGTGGAGGTCATTGATGATTATTGTAGTATTCCTCCAAGTGTGGTTAGCATTATTCATATGTTCATTGTTATCATTATTCGCATTGCCACTACTAGCATCATCGTGACAAGTAGTATTGGTTCATTCGTCGCACAACTGATATTGTGCATCTAACTTTGAACACGTAGATTCGTTTTCACTAATGATATCCAACATTCGAGCTACTAAATGTATTAGTGCTCTTCGTGATGTTACGATGCTTATCATTACTGATTTACGCACGATTAGTAGTATGTTACTCGTGCTGGTCTTCGTTATTGCGATTACTCTTTCAATGCTGCCCGTGTCCCCCCCCCGTCCGCGAACATGCCTTGGGCCATGATGCGCTGACATCCCTCCTCCTGGCCACCCTCTTCGGCCCACCAGGAGGTATGGACCCAGGCAGACGGTACAGCTTACCAGGAGAGGGTCTCCCCTCCCGTCTCGCCTGCGTTGCTCGATGCTCCAGCCGCCCGTAGGTAGGCCCAGGCGTGGTCCCAGACCGCACCTTCGCAGCGAGGAGTTTGGGTGCGACCTGGACACCTGCAAGCGGTCGGCAACTCGCCTGCCCTGGCCGCGCAGATCCGCGAAAGTGCAAGCCGACGCCAATCGCTCTTCACCTCAAGAGCCGACTGCGGTCTCCACGTGTGCACTCGAGGGGTCGCTGCATCCGCCTTGCTCTTGATTTCTCGGCATGACCACGGCGTAGTCAGCAAACCTCTTCCCCTCTTTACTCGTGCCTGTGGGCATCAACATGGCTGCGCTTCTGCTTCCCGCCCTGGCCAGCCTGGCATGCTGGGTGGACTGGAATGGCGGCATGGCTGGCATGGCATGCTGGGCTTGTCATGGGGCAATGGGAACGTCTGGCATGGCATACTTCCATATGCCATCCGGCTTGCGTGGCTGGCATGGCGGCTCCCACCCCACCCCCTTTCACCACCACCGCGTCCACGAGATTGGCACAGTTAGCCGTTACTCTGTCGTTCATTGGTTTTACAGTGTCGCGTGAAATTTTTCTCTTGTCGGAGGCTTGGCTTTTGCCGCTACTCCTTGCACTGCGTTTGGCAAGCGAAAAGCACTTGTGCACAAGGGATTCTCACTAAACTTGGAACGAATCGGTCCAGCCTGGCACGAAGACCCAGCGCTGCACCGCGGTCCGCGGCGTTGCGGCCGTCCTGTGATTGGAACTTGCCTGACGCGAACTCCGACGATGCATTGGCTTTTGTTCGCCGCACATTCCGGCGATACGCTGGGGCGTGCGGCGTTGCAAGTTTGCCTCGATGCTATCACCAATTGAGTTTGTTCGGCGCGAGTTCGGGCGATGAGTGGCGGCACGGTTCGGGTTTTGATGAGTTGATTTTGCTCGGCGCGGCATTACGGTACACATCGGGATCATCCACGACAGGGGCCCATAGATCGCACCCAAGATGTTGCATTGAGTTTGCATGTTTAGCCCGCGTTTGTGTCATATCATTGTTTTGTACGTGCGCGAATGTGGTCTCATCCCGGCCTCGGTAGTGGTAATCGTATTCTTTATCAAAGAACCACGTTAAGTCATGCGTTCGCATAGAGGTGGTTTTGACTGTCATGTTTTGCTCAACTGGCTGTGCGCAGCGATCGTTACTCTGTTCTTGCATCTTTCCGTTCCAGATGCAGCGCATGCAATGGTACATCGTGCCATCTCGCCAGTAAGGTCATCATGAATCAATCGGTGTTCCAAAAAAGCGTGCATCCATCTCTCTTTTGCTACACATTCGCGAAAGCGATGATTCGATTTTGTTCTGGGAGCCAAGCAATGACTTGAGCAGCACCACATGTTCATGGCATCGCTGGTTTATTCCAAATTATGTACGTTTGTTTTGTTCTCTCTCTCTCTCTCTCTACATATAGTTAAGTATGTGTTTGTGTTTATGCCGATTGCTTGAGTCATATCTCAACCGCACACGTGTAGTGGCCATTGTGCTCTGTTCGTTCCCAGCAGTTGTAGCAGGTGCATCTGTCACTGCCGGTGATGACCGACACCCCGAAGATGGTAATCATTCAGTGACGATAGCCGGCACAGGCGAGGAGCTCCAAAGACGGAGGGGGATCAATGGAGCCGAGATTGCATATTGATTCGGATTTGGTTTTGTTTAATGGTTGATGTTTCGCGTACCCCTACCAGCCCATCCAGAAACAATGCCCAGGGGAGTTGAGATGATCAGGGAAGCGGGGGAGCATGCAGGAGAACAAAGGGCGGGGGAAATTGTCACATACCCCAAGAGGGGAGGATGGAGAAGGAATCGTCGTCGTCATCGGGGGAGGAGGAGGAGGAAGAGGAGGAGGAGAATGAGGAGAATGAGGAAGAGGAGATTGAGTAGGGCGACGACGAGGAGGACTCTCTGAGGAGGACGAGAAGGATGAGAGAGAGGAGAAGGAGGAGAAGGAGGAAAAGGAGGAGAAGGAGGAAAAGGAGGAGAAGGAGGAGGAGGGGAAGAGGAGGGGGTGGGGGAGGAGGGAGGAGGAGGAGGAAGAGGTGGATGAGGAAGAGGAGGACGGCGAACCGAAGATCCAGAAGCTCCTTAAATACCTTTCGGAGATTCTTTTGAGACTTCTTGGGGGTCTCTTGGGAGCCTCTTGGAGGCCTCTTGGGCGCCTCTTGGGGCCGTCTGGGTGCCTCTTGGGGCCCTCTTGGACAGCTTTTGGGAGGCTTTTTGAGACCTCTTGGGACCTCCTGGGCGCCTCTTGGGGCCATCTTGGAGGAGATCGATCAAAAAAGAAGGGAGCTTCAGTTTCGCCCCCCCCCCCCCCCCCCTCGGGAGCCCCAAAAATACCCTCCTGGACCCCTCTTGAGGCGCTCTTGAGGCCGTCTTGGGGCTCTTTGGGGGCCCTGTCGGCGCGAAGGCACAAATCATTGATTTTCCTTAGATGTTGGCCTCCTTGGGAAGCTCTTTGGCCTCTTCGAGCCGTCTTGGGGCGGTCTTGAGGCCTCTTGGAGCATCTTCGGAGCCATCTTAAGACACCTTAGGCTATCTTGGGCCATCTTGGAGCTCATCTTGGGCTCTCCGAGGCGCTCTTGGAGCCATCTTGGGCCATCTTGGTCGCCCCGACCGCTCGCAAAACGCCCCGTCCAGGTCCAGGGGGAGGGGGGAGGGGGAGGGGGAAACCCCTCCCCGAAGGGGAAGAGGGAGGGGTGGAAGAGGAAACGCTCTAGACCACCTACGCCCCGAGGGCTGGTGGGATTTGAATGGGCATTGCACGCACGCAGCATGGGGGGAATGGAGTCAGCTCCAAAGAGAGAGGGGTCCCGACCTCTCCCGAAAGCGTGGGCCGCGTCAGGAAACGTGAGCTCGTCGGAAAGGCGAGTGGTTTATCCTCCCTTTGCAGAAGCCTACGGAAGGCCCGCGTAAGCCTCACCGGTGGAGGTCTGGCAGAAGTTAATTGAAGGGAGACAAACACAGGAGGAGGAGAGAGGACGACGAAGGAGAGGGGCATGGGTAGGGGGAGGAGGAAGGTGTCGAGGGAGGAGAAAGAAGGGAAGGACCAGAGGAAGCCCAGAAAGCATCGGCGGTGTGGCAACACACCCTCCCGCCCAGAGCACCCTCCTCAAGAGTCCTTAGGTACACACGCTCCGCTCCTGCCTGCGGGAGGCGCCTCCCGAGAAGACGAGCGCGCCGCGGAGAGGAGGAGCAGCAGCAGCAGCAGCAGCAGGAGGAGACAAGAGGACCCAGGCGACCGACGCCGTGAGCTTTTCACAGCGCGGCGCCCGAGGGCCGTCCGTGGTCGCCGTCGTCTTCGTCGTCGTCGTCGTCGTCGTCGTCGCCGCCGCCGTCGTCGTCGTCGTCGTCATCGTCGCCGCCGTCGTCGTCGTCGTCGTCCGTCGCCGTCCCTCGCCGTCGTCGTCGTCGCCGTGAGCCCCTCCCCCGGGGGACGAGCCCGCCATCCCGATGCAGAAGCGAGAGGCCTCCTCGCGCAGGGCCGTCGCCGCAGCGAGCCGTCTTCGACGACGACGACGACGACGACGACGACGACGACGACCACGACCACGACGACGACGACGACGACGACGACGACGACGACGACGACGACGACGACGACGACGACCACGACAACCACGACCACGACGACGACGACCACGACCACGACCGCGACCACGACGACGACGACGACCACGGCGACCACGACGACCACGGCCACGACGACCGCGACCACGACGACGACGACCACGACCACGACGACGACGCCGCCGACGACGACCACGACGGCGACGACCACGACGACCACGACGACGCCGACGACGACCACGACGACGACTCGTCTTTGGACGGTGCCGGGGCCCGGCGAGGGCCTTCTTTCCGGGAGGCCGAGAGCGGCCCCCCCCCCACACGCAAAGAGTGTCGTGCTCGCTCGCGCAGGGCAGCGGGAGGAGGCGCACGGAGCGGCAGGAGGAGGCGCAAGGAGCCAGCAGGAGGAGGCGCAAGGAGCCAGCAGGAGGAGGCGCAAGGAGCGGCAGGAGGAGGCGCAAGGAGCCAGCAGGAGGAGGCGCAAGGAGCGGCAGGAGGAGGCGCAAGGAGCCAGCAGGAGGGGGCGCGAGGAGCAGCAGGAGGTCCTCGCGAAAAACCACCACCGGAGCCCTGGACCCCATCTTTCTGCGGCATCTCTCGAGCCGGCCCGATCTGTGAGGGCCCCAGGGCCCGAACCCGAGCGGAAACGCCCGGCGTGGGACGGATGCAATGCCCGGACCTCAGGGAAGGAGCAGCCGGAGGAGGGGCCACAGAGCGACGACGGCTGGCGCAGGCGACACGGACGACTGCCCCAACGGCATCCTCGTGAGCGGCCCGGGCACCGCGGTGCGCGGCGGCTCCGTGCGGCTGTCCTGCAACGGCAGCGCGGTCCGGGTGGCCGACGGCGCGAGCGTGGAGGCCTTCGCTCACGAGGGGGAGCTGCTGGTGCTCGGCGACTCGGGAGGGAGCCAGGGGAGCCGCGAGGTCTCGACTGGATGCGCGTGGCCCTCCGCTCCGCTGGACCTCCCAGGAGTCCACGAGAGTGTCGACCGTTGCGCAGTTTACGGGGCCCAACAATATACATCACCACCACCACCACCACCACCACCACCACCACCACCACCACCACCACCACCACCACCACCTCCCTCACCCCCTTCCCCTACCAGGAAAGAGGAGAAGAAGAGGAGGGTGCGTAGAGGAGGGAGGAGGAATCGACGCGGTGGTGGTCTATATGTTTGGGGCCCGCACAGTTGGCGCCCCCCAGGGACCCGCGAGGTCCCGACTGGATGCGCATGGACCTGCTCAGGGGGAGAGGGGGGGGGGCGGGAAGCACCGAGGGGGGCCCCCCAGCCCAGCCCGCCCAAAAGCGTGGTCGATGGCGCGAGCGTCGAGGCCTTCGCCCGCGAGGGGGTGCGGCTGGTGCTCGGCGGATCGGGAGGGGGAAGCGCCCGCGGCAGTTCAAGGTTCGAGGTTCTCGGGCGTCTTCGTCCTTCTCGGCGGCTTCCCAGCCTCGGGGTGCCTTCCAGCAGCTGCGCCTCGCCGAAAGCGTTCTGGGGGTGCCCAGATCGTCCCGAATGGCCGCCAGAGGCCCGAGCTCTGGCCCGAAAACCACCGGGGACGGGGGTGAGCTCAGGGGGGAATGCATCGAGAGGGGCCCCATAGTCCACGCCGCCCAGTAGGATGGGGATTCGCTATCGAGGGCCTATCGCCGATCTCTTGTCAGTTGGCCCCCGAGAAAGAAAAGCGCACGCACACACCACCCTCCAGTCGAGGAAGCGCAAGCATGGATCAAGACGCCGTGGATTAGCGATGGGTTCCGCCTCCAGGCCTCCACCCAAGGATCGAGGTTCTAGGCTGCTTTGACGTGTGGTGGCCTTCCTGGCTCATCTCAGGACAACGACTTCCCGACCACGAGGAGGGTGTAAGTCGAGACTGCCGAGGGTCAGGCGGGCCGGATGTTGAGACCACGGCGGACTATTCCCACCGGCCGATTGCGCCGCAGCCAGTGTCCCCCTCCTTCATATTGGCGGGCCTACGCAGCTTCGCCTCGCCTGTACGCACGACACGAACACGAAACCGAAACCGATTTCCCGGTGGGGGGCTCTCCGTTCCACTGCGATCTCACCCCCAAACCTTCGATATTTGCCCAGCTCCGTACCAGTCGCCACGGCTGGATCCCCCTCGGAAGTCCAGTCGGCACGCACCCGAGGACCTCGGTCTGCGAAGGGCGACTGTGACGCCCCAGGCCCGGACTCCCTGGCGGCCCTTGGACAAGATCCGCTCCGGAGGCTTTTTGCAATTTGCCCCGCCCTCGGGCCGTTTCCAGAGCCCCTCCCTGACCTCCCAGGAGGCTAAAAAGTAGCACCAGGACCTGAGCATCTAAATTCTCGTCGTGGTTTTAGGCAGTCCAGATAGGTCTATACTTCTCGAGGGCCATTGTTCAGCACTCTAAAAAATCATAACTAAACTAAACCATCAAAAAAAATCCCCCCCCCCCCAAAAAAAAAGAGAGATCCGGGGGCCGGGCGGCGGAAAAGAAAACTTGGGCGCTACAGAGGAGGAGGAGGAGGAGGAGAAGGAGGAGGAAGAGGAGGAGGAGGGCCAGATCAGCTGCTCGCGCTGGCCTGGAGCCGATCCTGTGCGCAGAGAGCCGGGCCCCCAGGAGGGGGCCACCAGGGATGTGGCTTCTCCCTCTTGCTATAGGCGACTCCGTGGCGCTGACTGGCTGCAACACGTCCGTGAACGCCTCCAGGATTCAGGTCGCATGGGCAACGATAGGGGGGGATAGGCATAGGGGGGATGCATCGCCCCCCAATCGCCCATTGATTGCAGATAGGGGTCTGATAGCCCCAACCCGCCCAGGAAGGTTCGGATTCACTATCGGGGGCCTGTCGCAGATCTATCGGCGACGTATCGCCGATTTCAGTTCGATGCATCCCCCCTGTGCCAGTCCCCCCCCTGTCGTTGCCCCCCAAGGTCGTGGCCAACGCCGCCGCCGGCGCGAACATCAGCGCCGGCCTGGAGGGCGTCAGCCACCTGGAGAGGCCCGAGGACAGGTACAACGGAATACTTTTTTTGATTTGCGGCCCGCAAGGAAAAGTCCAGAGGGCGGTCAGAACGAGGCTGGGGCACAGCGCACGATGATTAGCGCGAGAACGCGTGGAATGCACATGCAAGACGATTAGGCGAGGCGGCCACAGGTGGGCAACCAGTACAACGCAATACGCGGAGGGCCCCGCAGCGGGGGGCAAGAGGGAGGAGGGGGGAGGCCCGCTGCCGTGCCCGCTCGTGGCTCGTGGGACGCGCCCCGGCTGATTCCCCCTGGCAACTCTCCGTTGTCGTGCCCCCGCCACCTCGGGGGAGCGTAAGACCCGGGTTTGCCAGGACTCGGGTTCGCCATCGTTTTTTGACGACCGCGCCTCGGATTTTGACGAGGAGGAGTTTCGTGGGATGTCTGCAGCGGGAGGCCTCGTCAAAATGCAGGCTCGGCCTCGTCATTTTTCTGACGACCTCGTCGGGGATTTCCGAGTCCCCTGTACCCAGGTCTTACGTCCCCCTGAACCTCCCCCGGCTGCTCGGGCCACCCCCTCCTGGTGATGAGCCTCCTCCTCCTCCTCCACTTCCTCCTCCTCCTCCTCCTTCTCCTCCACCTCCTCCTCCTCCTCCTCCTCCTCCTCCTCCTCCTCCTCCTCCTCCTCCTCCTCCTCCTCCTCCACTTCCTCCTCCTGCTCCTCCTCCTGGTGATGAGCCTCAGCCCGCGGAGGTCCGCGCGGAGAGTCCTCGGGCCGCGGGCCTTGCCCCGCCTCCCCCCGCGACCCCCCCGGCGGCGCAGTGTCGGGCGCCGCCCTCGGCGCGCTCCCCGGGGGAGCAGGAGCGGGGCCCTGGCCGCGAGGCCTGCTGCAGTCGAGACTGAGAAGGAGGTCGACCCCGCTGAGAAGGAGGTCGACCCCCTCCCCTCCTCCTCCTCCTCCTCCTCCTCCTCCTCCTCCTCCTCCTCATCCTCCTCCTCTTCCTCCTCCTCCTCCTCCTCCTCCCTCCTCCTCCTCCTCCTCCCCTCCTCCTCCCCTCCTCTCCTCCTCCTCCCTCCTCCCCTCCCCCTCCCCCTCCCCCATCCCCCTCTCCTCCTCCTCCTCCTCCTCCTCCTCCTCCTCCCTCCTCCTCCTCCTCCTCCTCCTCCTCCAGCTTGTTGGGTACTCCAGATTTCGTAAGAAAGGGAGGGGGGTCTCATTTCGGGGGGGGTCTCTTCCAGGCCATCTTGGAGGGCCTGGGGGGGTCTGGGGACGATGTTTTGGAGGGTTCTCCCACGGGGGGGGGGGTCTGAAATGGCTCGTCTTGGAGGGTCGAGACCCCCTCCCTTTTATTACGAAATCTGGAGTACCCTTGTGTGTCCTGTGTGTTGCGGCCCATGCCTTGCACGTTCCTGTGGCAATGATGATGCCCTCGGAAGGGTCTTGTGTCCTCTCGCGTGTCCTCTCTGAGCAGCCCCGGCTGTGCATCGCGGGGGCCATGGGTTTCTGAAAAGAGACGCCTCCACTTCCCAGAGCAGGCCTCCTGTCTGAGAGGTCCCGCCAACATGGGCGCGAACGGGCCCTTTAGAACACCCGGTGGTCGCCCACCCTCGGAGAGGCCCGAGTGCGACGCCTGCCGGTTGCGGTGGCCACGTGGCCTTCAGCGCCGACGCAAGAGATGGGCGAGGACCTCCGAAAGCTTACGGTTGGCGGTGACAAGATGGCGTGCGACGTGGCCCCAGCCGGCCCGCGTATTGCACGCTACCCCCCACCTTGGGGGTAGCGTGCATCGACGAGGCGCCAGCAGGGTGATAGCGTGCACCGACGTGGCCCTCGCAGGGAGATGGCGTGCGCAGAAGAGCCCCTCGCGGGGGGATCGCCTCACAGGGACAGCGTGCTCACAGGGATCGCCTCACAGGGACAGCGCCATATGTCGCCGCGTCGTTTGTTCCGACGCACGGCCTTGTGTCTCCTCGACCACCAGGGCAAGCGCCGCCTCGGGCGCGGTGGGTTTGCCGTGGGGTTTGCCGCGGCGCCCGCTGTGTCTGCCTGAGGTGCGGGACGCAGGGCCTGCCGTGGGTCTGCCGCGGTGTCGGCGTCGTCCGCGTGGGCGTGCCGAGGACAAACGGCGCGGCGACGCGCTTGCAGCGTCCAGCCTGCGGCTCATGACTCTCAGAGGCCCCCGCGCCCCATGTTCAGCGTCGTCTCGCCGCGGGGCGCTCTGAGCCTCGGCGGCTGCCACGGCCTCTGGCACGTGCGGGAGTTCTTCGCCCTCGGTGCGGCCGCGTCCCTGTGGAACCAGACCGTCCGAACGCAGGGGACCAGCTGCAACAACTCGCAGTCCACAAAGGTCAGGCAGACAGTTGCCGCATTGGGAGGATGGGGCTGGGAGGAATGAGGATATCATTACCCGTAGGCGGTCGACGGTATCGTTCATTGCATGCGGATGCTATTGCTCATACCCTTCGTCCTCCAAACCCCTTCCTCCCAACACGATAGTTGTTCTCCTCAAAAGGTGGACCGGTGTCCAGGCATGCTTTCTGGTCTGCCCATCCCAGAAGAGCAGGCCCAAGTTGGAGCCGGCCGGGGGTCTGAGGTGGGCATTGGTTTTGGCTGGCAGGGGGGGGGCGGGGTCAAGGTTCTGGATTTGCCTCTGGGGACCACTTTCGGGCCCCAGGATTGTCAAAAACAGATGTTAGGAAAAACTTGTACCAGATGGACCCCGGGAGTGGTCCAGGGATCGATTTTGAGCAGATTTGGCTCAATCCCCCCCCTCCTGACCGACATTCTGGGGCCCCAACCAGTTCAGACCCCACAGCCGTCTCCAAGGCCAAAGAACGACACAGGCATAAACCTTCGAAGGTCCGCGGGGCTCTCCTAGGTCGGCGCCACACCACCTTCCCCACCACCTTCCTGGGGAAGGGTGTGATGAGAGGGTGGGGGGGAGAATGTTCCAGTCTCACGGCGATCTGCCAACAGACCCATACCCCCGACGTCGTGTTTTTTTCACAGCGTCGACCCCCAGAGGTCTGGATCCCTTCCCTGGGGCCAGTTTGTTATCCTGAGTCGTTTCTGACGGTCCCGAGGCCCGGTCAGGGCCCCCGGAGGCCGAAAATTGTGAAAAAAATCCCGTCGTGATTTTTGTACAACGCGAGGAGGTCTGGGGAATTCGCTCCACCTCTCGAGTGCAATCAGCATCCGGTGGCACTTGGTGTGACTGGCCAGCGGAGCGACCCAGCGGTCCGCTGACGCAAGAGGGGTGCGGTCGGGGACTGCCGCACTGGCCCGCGCAGTCAGCGCAGACCTCCGAGGGTTCATGCCTGCGCCGTTTTTGCGGCTCATCTGCGTCCACCCCGTGGCCTCGGACTCGAACGTGTCCTTCGACTTCGTCGTCGCGGCTCAGTACGAGCTGGCCATCACCGGGGCGGGCGTCTACGCGGCGTCGATGATCGCGTGCTCCAACAGCTCCGCCCGCTTCGGCGGGGGCGTGAGGCTGGACGCCTCGGGCAGGGGCTGTGGCCCCGGCGAGGACCGCGGGGGCCGGCGGCACGGCGGTGCGGCCCCTCTCTCCTCCTCCATCCTTTTTCTTGTGAACAGCTCCTCCTGCTCCTCTTCCTCTCTCCCCCTTTTCCTCCTCCTCCTCCTCCTCCTCCTCCTCCTCCTCCTCCTCCTCCTCCTCCTCCTCCTCCGCCTCCTAGGCGGTTCAGCAGCGCGGCCATAGCCATTTCAGCGGGGCCCGCGGAGCTGATGCCCCCAGCGCCGCCGGCGCGACGGGAGCCCCCGCAGGGGGCAGCTGGAGCGCGAGCAGCCGCCGACAGGCTGGTGCAGCGCCTCCAGCGCGAGGTGGAGTGGTGGAAGGAAAGGGCGGAATGGCTCGAGCGAGCGAGGAAGGAGCCCAACGTCATCAGCTGCGAAGGCGCGTGCGGGAAGACGGGGCAAGGGCAGCAGGAAACAGCAAGGAAGCCGCCAGAGTTCAGGTGGAACTGCGAGGCGCCCGTGTTCGTTCCTAGCTGCTGCCACCAGCCGTAGTGGGGCCTGCAGTGGATGCAGGACTGCGGGGACGGGCAGCGGCAGAGAGACAGTGGCAGCCTCAAGTGGACGGGCAGTGGCAGCATCGGGAGTGCGGAGACTGTGCGTGCGAGAACGGCGGGCGCGGCAGCTTCCAGATGCCGTCAGTTACTGCGAGGAGCGTGAGGCGAGGACGGAGACCAATGCCATCGGCTACCGCAGTGCGAAGGGGATCAGCAGGGTGTGCGAGACGCGTGGGGCGAGGACGGAGCCCAACGTTATCAGCTACAGCGCTGCGATCAAGGGGGGCGCGATGGTAAGCAGTAGCGTGTGCGAGAAGCGTAAAGCGAGGACGGAGCCCAACGCCATCAGCTACAGCGTTGCGATCAGGGTGTGCGAGAAGGACGGCACTTGCAGGGCCATGTGGATGGCTCGGGCAGTGATTGACTCGACGTGGCTGGCGGGAGGCGAAGGACCCCGTGCGTGCGAGAAGGACGGGCAGTGGCAGCTTCGAGCGGGCGGCCAATGGCAGCCTCAAGAAGGCGGACCCTGCGCGGGCGGGAAGGACGGGCACTGGCAGCTTCAGGAGGGCCAAGACCGTGCGTGCGAGGAAGATGGGCAGTGGCAGCCTCAAGAAGACGGGCAGTGGCAACTTCAAGCGGACGTGCAGTGGCAGCTTCAAGAAGACGGACCCTGCGCGTGCGAGAAAGGCGGGCAGTGGCAGCTTCAAGAAGACGTACCCTGCGCGTGCGAGAAAGGCGGACAGTGGCAGCCACAAGCGGATGGACGGGCAGTGGCAGCCTCACGAAGAGGGCGAGCAGTGCGAGAAGGACGGGCAGTGGCGGCAGAAGGCGAAGGACGAGCCTGGGAACAGCGAGTGCGAGAAGTGGGAGGCGAAGATAGACCCCGACATCATCGGCTACAGCGTTGGGACCAGGACGCGCGAGAAGGAGCTGGCGAAGCTAGAGCACAATATCAGCTACAGCGCTGGGAGCAGCGCGCGCGAGAAGTGGGAGGCGAAGCTAGAGCTCAATATCGTCAGCTACAGCGTTAGAGCGGAGAGCGGGCAGGCGGTCGAGGGCTGGCTCACCCAGCTACGCGGCGAGCACGGGGTGCACATGTACGACGTGGTGGTCCAGCTCGAGCGCGACTGTGTCGACGTAGAGCTTGTAGAGAGGTGCATGGGCTCCCGCCGCTACAGGAGGACCTTCCTCGTGCAGGGTGAGACGGTCGTCCTGCGAAAAGCTCCAGGAGGGAGCGGGCGCGAGAAGCTCCAGGAGGGAGCGCGCGAGAGGCCGCCGCAGGAGAGAAGAGAGGCTGCGTCGCCGCCAGGGGAAAGGCTATAAAAAAGGCTCCTCCTCCTCCTCCTCCGCCTCCTCTTCCGCCTCCTCCTCAGCCTCCTCCTTTTCTTCCTGCTCGGCCGTGGCCGGGCGGCTGCCGCCGCGGCAGCGGGGTGGGCCCCCGTCCGCTGCACGTTCCATTGGGTCGATTCCTCCAGCTCCGTCTCTTCCTCTGGGCGTTTCGATTCAGACTTCTTCGCCATTTGTGACCCTGAAGCTTGAGACTTGCAACAGCTTCACGGATGGAGGGCGGATCGTGTTCAGAATGTGGTTCTCGTTTCAGCGCCGCGCACATTTGTATTACAAGTTTGCAACAGTTTCACTGATTAAAGGCGGGTCGTTTTCAAAATGTGGTTCTCGGTTCAGCGCCGCGCACATCGTCTGAAAAGCTTGCAACAGGTTGACGGATGGAGGGCGGGTCGTTCTCAAAATGTGGTTTTCGCCTCAGCACCGCGCACATTCGTCTTCACAGTTTGCAGCAAATTCGAGATTTGGCGCGGTCGAAGTCCCAGAAATGGTGCTTTGGCACGATTGAGGATTGTCAGGACGCAACAGCCACGTTGATCCGTGGCGCCGACGCTTGCATCATCATTCATGCGTCTTGGGTTTACACCAGTCCTCTTGCTCCTGATCCTCTTCCTCCTCCATCTTCTCGCCGTCCTCGTCCTCTCCACGCCCTCCCGGCCATCCCTCCGCTCAGCATCATGTAGCCGATCCCCGCCCGCACTGGGCCGTGGTATTTCAGCCCCACCAGCCCACCCTCGCAGAAAGGAGATAGGCTCCACGAGACCTGTTGGAAACAGTCTATATCGATCTAGCGGGGTAAAGGAGCCAGCGGGGCGAAGGCCATGCCAGTGGGAATGGGAATCGGTTAAACAACGCTCCGTCCTGGTCGCTAGTCGCCCGTGTGCTCAAGGTGCGATGAAGCGACGGGTTCCGGTGATGGGCCAAGGACTGCAGAATCGTGGTGCCAGCACAGCAGGGCGCTGGATTGATTTGATGATGCTTTCGTTGCAGTGAAAGCTTCGGATGTGAGGGTACTGGAAGCTGAATTCGGGCTGGCGCGCAGGTGTAGACGGAAGAGGGTGAGGAGAAAAGTGATTCGGGCAGGGCTACAGGTTATTAGTGGCTCCCGTGTGGGTGCACAATATGGCTTGTGAGACAGATACAAAGGTCGAGTCGGGGCTCGCGCTTCGAAGGTGTTCCCCATGTTCTCAAGGGTGGGGGCAGATTTGAAACTCGGGCGGTTTCTTCGTCCTTCTCCTCCATCAGAGTCTTACCCCCCCCCTGGTTTTCATCCTTGCGGCCATTTTCGTCATCCCCCCTCCTCCCCTTCCTGTTTTTTCCTCCTTTCCTTCTTCCCCCTCTTCCTCCTCCTCCTCCTCGTCCTCCTCCTCCTCCTCCTCCTCCTCCTCCTCCTCCTCCTCCTCCTCCTCCTCCTCCTCTCCTCTCCTCCTCCTCTCCTCCTCCTCCTCCTCCTCCTCCTCCCCTCCCCTCCTCCTCCTCCTCCTCCCTCCTCCTCCTCCTCCTCCTCCTCCTCCTCCTCCTCCTCCTCCTCCTCCTCCTCCTCCTCCTCCTCCTCCTCCTCGTGATTAATATACCCCACTCCACTCCCCGCCCCGATTGCGCTTCCTTCTGAATGATTTCTCCTTGTCGCACCTCGTAACGTGCCGATAGAGCAGGCTGGGCGTTTCACCTGAGACATCATCACCATTCATGATCTTGAAGCTGAACATGTGTGACAGTTTCACGGATGGCGGGCGGACCGTTTTCAAATGTTTGTTCTCGCTTTAGCGCCGCGCACATTCGTTCTAAGAGTTTGCAAGAGTGCCACGGACGAAGGTCGGGTCGTTTCCAAAACGTGGTTCTCGCTTTAGCGCCCCGCCGCCAGGGGGGGCCAGCGCCCATCCAAGAGATCCGCGCGGACTTCCGAGTTTATGTCATCCTTCGTTCCCCCATACGATTCCGGCGCCCGTTCCCATGTCTACGACCTTCCAGCTTCGACCCGACTCCAACTTCTGAGCGGCCAGTCCCTTCTCTACCAGCGCCTTGGCGCCCACCCGCTGCACCCACGCAGGTGCCTTCCGTGCGGGACCGACCAGCCTGGGTTTGCAATGGTCATCCTCTTTCTCCTCCTCCTCCTCCTCCTCCTCCTCCTCCTCCTCCTCCTCCTCCTCCTCCTCTGCCTCCTCCTCCTCATCCTCATCCTCATCCTCATCCTCATCCTCCTGATCCTACTCATCCTGCTCCTTTTGAGTTGCCCATACCAGGGTCAGCAACTGTGGCCTTATTCATTCCTCCTCCTCCTCCTCATTATCATCATCCTCCTCCTCCTCCTCCTCCTTCTCCGTATCCTCCTCCTTCTCCTTTTCCTCCTCCTTCTTCTTCTCCTCCTCCTCCACCTCCTCCTCCGTCGGCGTTGTCGCGGCGCTCGTGGCGCACCTCCTCTTCACCTTGCGCACTGGGCGCCACCGCGGGGCCGCGGCCCACTCGGCGCGGGGCGCCCAGCCCCGCGCCCGCGCGCCCACGCCCGTGCGCGGCAAGAGCTCCTCCTCTGGCCGTGCCCGCTGGCTGCTGGAAGCTCGGCGTGGCACGCCGACGGCGTGCGCGCGGCGCCCTCGGCGGCCCCGGCGGGCCGCACCCGCCGCGAGGCGAGGTGGACGTCACGATGGCGGTCGCGGGCGCGCACCTCGGCAAGACGGCGCCCTGTGGGCGGACTTCTCGAGCCGCGGGCGCCGCTCGTGCGCCACGCGGGGCGTTGCGCCAGGGCGGGGCTCGCCCTCGGGGGGTCCGCCTGCGGAAGCTCGGTTCCAGTCGGGCATGTCCTTCTACAGGTGGAATATTCAAAAATCATCCAAAAAAATGGTCGGGGGCGGTGTTTCGACTACGTTTGACTATTTTTGCATAGTTGTTAGACTATTTTTCATGTTTCCTCCAAAATGCGCCCGTGGCAGGACATGCCCGACCTGAGGCTCGGCGGAGGGCGGTGGACGCAAAAGCGAGGCGCACACGTTTCTGAGTCCAGGGTCTCCGGAGCGGGCCACCTGGAGGCGCAGTCGGGCGCCGCGTAATGGGGGGGTCATAAATGGGGGGGTGCCGCGGGTGGTCCGAAAAGGTACCCAAACGGTACCTAAACGAGCCCCCTGGGGCTCCGGAGGGGCCCGAAAGGGGCACGAAAGGGGACCTTTTTCTGACCCCCCATTAAGCCACGCCCAACGCAGGAGGTGAAGCTCTTGGCGGAGCTGGTGGGGGCCTCGCCTCCCCGAGTCGTGCGGCGCCCGCGCAGCGTCGGGGCCTCGCAGCGCGTGCTGGGAAGACGTGCAAGTGCAGCACGGGCGGCCAGTATCAGTCCGCGAAGGACCCTGGAGGTGCCGGGCCTCGGGGCAGGGCGGCGCTGACAGATGTCGCGAAGATGGTGCAAGACGAGGCGACGCGCTGAGGCCGCCTCTGGACGGCTCCAACTACCTCCCGTGAGGGCTGGAGGCCCACGTCACGGCCGCCTGGCAGCGGGCTGCTCGGCAGCCCTCGGGGGAGCTCCACACGGCGGACTTGCAGGTTGGACTCCGCGCTCACGGAGCTCCCCTACAGGAGGAATATCCCAAAATAGTAAAAATATAGTCTGGGGACGATGTTCTATCATGTTTGATTAATGTGCGACTATCATCCACGTTTCTTCCAGAATCCGCCTGTAGGAGAACATGCCTTTCCTCAAGCTAAGGAGTCTCGAGGCGTGGATGAAGACCTTGAGGGACGATCTGCCTGCTGCGATCGTGCGAGGAGGCGGGACGCCAGCCTCGCCAGCTCCGCGGCGCGATCGGCGCCGCGATCCCCGAGCCTGCAGGCGGGGAGCGCGTCATGGGCGTGTTGCCGTGGCTGCCGAGGCTGTATTCTCGGGTGCGGGCTTCGGTCACTCCAGAGCAGGCAGAGGGTCTTGGCACACCCTGGGGCACGGCAAGCCATTGGTCCAGCGCGCCTCGAGCCGCTTTGAGCCGACGGCTCACGGACGAGCCGGGCGTGGCCCTGCACATTGCGTCGGCCACGTCGAACGGCTCTGCAGTAGGAGCCGGTGGACATGTCCTGACGGTGAAGGACGACGCGGGACACGACAGTAACATCTAACCCAGGGCTAGTCACGGGCGCTATTGTTGCTTAGCTGCCCCCACTGCCTTTCACCCCCCCGAGGCCCTGCCGATGGCGCAGGAGGCGGTAGAAGATTGGCGGGGCGACAGGGGATAGAAGACGGTGGGGAAGAACATATGACGTGCAAATTTCTTCAAAAAGGGTAGTACGCATAGTTCTCGCGAGCCCATCAAAGATGGCCAAGGTACTTGGAAAGCCGCTCCGCCAGCCACTCGGTCCTCTGAGTTACAACCTCTCCCCCTCCCCGTCACCCTTCCCATCCGCCCCCGTCATCCTCCTTCTCCACCATCCCCTTCCCTTGTTTGCAGCTCCTTCCTATCGCACCAGACGTGTCGTCTGGCGAGCCAGGCACTTCGGCTGTGATGTCTTCGCTGGTTACGGATTTGAGGTCTGAAGTTGCCAACAGCTGCAC